AGTCCAACTCGTCCAAGAAAACAATGCAAGGCGCAGCGGCACGAGCCTTGTCGAAAATGTCGCGAATGTTGCTTTCGGACTCACCAAACCACATGCTCAGCAGCTCCGGACCCTTGACGGAAATAAAGTTGGCAGAGCACTCGTTGGCAACGGCCTTTGCCAACATAGTCTTACCCGTACCGGGAGGACCATAGAACAAGACACCTCGAGAAGGCGACATGCCGAACTTGAGAAACTTCTCGGGATGATCGACAGGGTACTGCACCTGTTCCTTGAGCTCCTGCTTGACGCCGTCCAGACCACCGATATCTTCCCAGCGGACGTTGGGCACCTCGACAACGGCAACTTCACGGAGGGCGGACGGGTTGGAAACACCCAACGCGAAGCGGAAATTGTCCATGGTAACGCCAAGCGAGTCGAGAACCTCGGCATCGATGGTGTCCTCATCCAGATCGATCAAGTCCATCTTCTCACGAATCTGCTGCATGGCGGCCTCTGAGCAAAGGGCGGCAACATCGGAACCAACATAACCGTGAGTCTCGGCAGCGATTTGCTCCAGGTCAACGTCGTCACCAAGCTTCATGTTCTTGGTGTGAATCTGCAAAATCTCGAGACGGCCAGTAGGGTCGGGGATGCCAATGTCGACCTCACGATCGAAACGGCCAAAGCGACGCAGGGCGGGGTCGATGGAGTTAGGACGGTTGGTGGCAGCCATGACAACAACATTGGCGCGAGCCTTCATTCCATCCATGAGAGTCAGGAGCTGGGACACAACACGACGCTCGACTTCGCCATTGGTCTTGTCACGCTTGGGGGCGATTGAGTCGATCTCGTCGATAAAGATGATGGCTGGAGAGTTCTTCTCGGCCTCTTCGAAAGCCTTTCGCAGGTTGGACTCGGATTCACCAGCCATCTTGGACATGATCTCTGGACCGTTGATCAAGAAGAAGAAAGCACCGGTCTCGTTGGCAACGGCTCGAGCCATGAGTGTCTTACCGGTACCGGGAGGACCGAAGAGCAACACACCACGCGGGGGCTTGATGCCGATGGATTTGAAGAGCTGGGGGTGACGCAGGGGAAGCTCGACCATTTCACGGATCTGAGCCATTTGCTTCCTGCAGCCGCCAATATCATCGTAACCAACCTCGTTGAGGTTGTTCTCCTCCTCGTCACGTTGGATGGGCTCGCCCTCGCAGTGGATGACCGTGTCTTGTGCGACGATACCGTACTCGGGTGGGTCAACCTCAACAACCTTGAACTCAACCTGCCTCATACCACCGCGAGCGATAAACAGATCGCCTTGACGAACGGGGCGGTAAGCCTCTCGGAAGTAGGGAGCGAGGAAGACGTCGAACAAGGAGCCAGTGAGGCCTTCGACGGTATCGGCAATAGGCAGGACAGCGATACGCTTAGCCTTGAAGGGGATCAGCAACTGCGTGTAAATGGCTGGTGGACGTCAGGTCACAACTCACATATTTGATGTCAGGGCAGGGGTGAATAGTGACGATATCGCCGTGCTTGACACGCAAGTTGTGGCGCACAACACGGTTCAGACGGCAGCTGCCGTCATCAAGGTCATCGTCGCCGAGTACAACCAGAACGGTATCTTTTCTCTTCTTGCCGCGGATAAGGACGGTATCGCCGCGGAACAACTGGAGAGCGTCCATGGTGTTGTTGGACAGAGCGATAATGGAGTTGTCATCGTTGACGGCATCGGTGACCCTGTGACGTTTGTCAGCTTGAGCTTGCAGTGCGGCAGAAGGGAACTTTCAAAACATACATCAGCTGATTGGGCTTCTTCTTCTTCTTGAGAATGGCAGTTGCAGTGTCATCCTCCTCCTTGTGCTCCTTACCAGAAGCGTCCCTGTGGAAAGTCAGCGTGTACTCTGTGTGCTTCGTTTGGTCCGGCGTCGGGGATTAGGTGATGGCGGGGTTTCTGCCAACGTACATCAAGTGACTCTTCTTGTGGTCGGCATTGCCAGGAGTTGGTTCAGGCGCCATGGTGACTGATTTCTTCACGCGAAGATGGGATTTTAGGGAGGCGAGTCGTCAGGTTGATACTGCGGACCCGAAAGCGCAGATGTGGATGAGCTGTCCGGTCGCTTGGGGACAGAGAGAGGCGTTGCGGTCGGACGGTGAATGGCGATTCCGATGCCGATGCTCGCACAAAAGGAAGAATGATCAAAGTCAAAAACCTCAAGAGGTGGTAGTTGACTGCGAAAAGAAAAGGGGAGGAAGGGTGGTTTTGATGGAAGAGAGAAGTAGACAGTTGCTTCGGCTCTGGCAGGTGTAGGGTGGTGGCGTTTGGAGAGGTAGCTTTGGAAAGCCGGCCCAGGCTCTCTCCAGGCAACGCAATGACGACTTGGAAGGCAGGAGTGGACCCGGACGGCTTACATGATCAGTGACTACTTGGCACGTGGTCCAAGCTTCCTTTTGCCTGCAAACTCAAACCACACTTTAATCTCAGAGAAGCTTCGAGATTCTGGTTTCGTAATCAAGGCGACAAAGTTGAGACGCTGTCTTTTCTCTTTGACAATCATGTATTCAACTTTGACAGATTCTATTCCAATACAGTGCTTCCAGTTCAGACATCGCCACGCAAGTGTTTTGATTTCCAAGGTTTCTTCACTAGGCGAGTCAGTCTCAGTCAAATCAATACATACATCTTTCATGCTCCCACACAAGGCTATTCCTTCGCCAACCCGGATTCAGTTAAGCTACGGGAATTGACGAGATCGTCTGCGCTTTGGACCTGAAGTCCTAAAATTTACGTCTTCTGCTACAGGCGGACGCAGTGCACCCTGGTCTTTGAGTTTCCGCCAGGTTGTTGGAGCACTGTATGTTCTGGCCTCATCCGTTCCATGAGAAAGGGAGGCCGGCCGAGTAAAAACATGAATTAATCACATGAGACTGGAGCTAGAGAAAGCATAGCGTGTATTGGGCATCTCGAATGACATCTCAATCACGCTCCTAGTTTAATCAATCGTCGCCTAAGACCTGGTCTCAACGCACTACCTAGGTACACAGATACCCTCGTCTCGCCGCACTCTTGACATCCGAACAATCACATGAAAAATACCATCTTACTCATGCCTGGTTCATAATACGATTACTCGCACTTCGATGTTTTCCCGCGTCAGCATTGACCGTGTCCAAAATTTTGCTGTGTATCCGGTAAGTCCTCCGGTTGCATTACGGACATAGGCAGGTTGGCCGGACTATCAATGGTCGGCGGGCGTTTGATGTGGCCTTCTAGAAGACCATGTCCGATGATATGGATTCCAAATCTGCGACCAGCCGTGGCAAAGCACTCGTAACGATTGTCTTTGGCTAGCCAACTTTGGCTCAACCATGTGATTCAGGGTATTGGTGTCGATATAGGAGCTCATCGTCGGTATCTCTCTTTGGAACACAGGTTTCGTCAACGGAATTTACTACTTCCACTGCGGGAGGGAGTTCTGTCTGGTAACGGAAGAGATCTGTTGAGGAGGCACATGCAAGCTGGTTGCAAGCGCTTCGCTAGCCCGGTCCTGCCCATGAAATTGATTATTAGTGCAGGCATTTTTGTCACGTGTCGACACAGCCTTACTTAAACCAGAATTGTTTAGAGGTGGCTTTTGCTATGGAACGCCCCGTTTCCGCTGACGCTGAAGCTCGAAACATATGATTTGTGAGTCGCAGATTTGAAAGCGTCTTCTCGAGACGTCCCCACGTAATGGTGTGGGCCCGCGATACCCCGAAAAGTCCCTGGGCAACTTTGGGAGGTATAGCGAGTGCTATCTTGAGTTCCATTTCAGTTCAATATAAGTTGGAAGTCGCCTCGTCCCTCTAGTAGTCTGTATCTGCCATTCACTTCGTAGGATACCTCTAGAACAGTCACGTACTTCGCGACACCCACTACAGAACAGCAAGCTGCATCCGCCATAAGCTCAGAAGACAGAGCCTTATCGAGTCTACCATGGTTACGAACCTGTCCAGTTTTGACGTTTACTAGTGTTTTTGAGCACCGACAATGGGTGTTCTCCAAGCTGCGCCTCTTTGATGCGGGCCCAGTGTGGCTCGCGTCTATCAGTCAGAGACTCGACGCTAGGTTTGTAGGCCATTGATGTATATGTACCTGGAAGAAGCCTGGTTAGAATGCAAGTACGTCAATCGGAGTTCAATTCAGTAACTCATAAGTGCTAGTGCACACCAAACATCTCATTAGCCCACGGTGGGGATCAGAAGGATCGAGTACAACGAGGTATTCTGTAAGGTATTGCCAAAGTCATATGCGACCGCACTTTAGCGCTACCATGGACTGATGAGGAATAGGACACATCTAAGTTTCCAATAATATTAGGTCACTTCAAATTATGAGCGATTATCCTACAAGTCGGTTTCGTATAGGCCATTCTTCTACAGACTAGTATACCTGATTCAATACCGAGCCCGGCAGTGATCCGATCTGTCGCCGACCAGCGCTTAGCTAGCCTTGCGACGAAATTATTTCTCTCTGAATATGTCCGCATTGCTTTGGTTCCCAGTATGGACCCTGATTCACATTGCGAAGCTTCCGCCAGCTGTGGGTGGATTGCCTTGGCAAGTTGGGTCTGGCTCAGCATCAATGGGCTTCATGATTACGGGCACAATCAGCAACGGCAGCCAAAGCATCCTGATTAGCACAGAGTGGGGCGTGCCTGCATATCAACGAGTGGGCTTTCTTTGCTGATGCCCGAAACGCTCTTTTAAAGAATGATATAGCTCAGGTAGAATCTCAACGCGAAGAACACGCTTGACGGGTCCTTGCTCGATACATACATAGGTAAGCACGTGCGGGTGAGTCGCATCGCGCCGCACTAGTGCACCTCGGGCCGCGAGCAGCATTATGTAATTTCGGGCCGAGCACGTGGCCTTCCCCACCTGGGCGGCACCTCGATATCTCGAGATGGACTTCATGAGACACCAAAAAAGCAATACACAGTGATACTTTCCTTGAAGTAAAGCTTAGAAGACAAAAATGAATCAACGCGGGATCGAACCGCGAACCTTGACGGACCTTGATGCGAACATCCAGGTTGTAATCCACTTGATTGTGAACGTCACGTGATAACCATTACACCATTGATCCATGTCGGCCAAGATGGTCAAGTTGATACTATATCTATGGCATAGTGCTGACTCTTGAATACGGCACACCACGACTGCCGCAACGTCTGCCAAGGCAAAATCAATGGATATGGACGCGATGATGGCGTTTACAAGTAGCGGACTGATTGACAGGTGCATCATGCGTCCGCCGTCGCGCACAAAGTCGTGACTCGTTCATGAGACTGGGAACGTGAGGGGTACTAACTATTACCTCGCTGCAGGTGGTGATGAAGTTGCCTAGGTGGATGAGTCTCATACAACGATGCGGAGATGGAAACCAAAGATCTTTCCAGACTCACATAACTTAGATCGTTGAGGGAAGGGGGGAAAGGATGAAAAGAAAGCATATTACCAGTGTTCAGGTCAAAAGGTGTCTGGATGTGAGGTTGAAGTCTACAGAGCAGCTTATTTCGGCCGGTGATGGTCACTCCCAGAGGGCACCAATCCGAAAACCGTCTCCGGAGAATATGAGAGAACATGCAGGACGAGCCATTGTGAGTTCTCGAATTTGAATCAATTGCGAATACAGGGAACAAACCGTCCTCATAGTGCTGTATATGGGAGAAGATTTCTCGCGGCGGGCGTCCAAAACTATTGTGGAAGGTGAATTTCTTTGTCTTCTAATCTCAAGCTTTCTAAATAGGTAGCTGTGCCTTTTCCCCAACTCCATGAAATCATCAAGAACGAGCGCCAGCCTAAGTATGCAAAAGCAAACGGCGGCTGAACCATAGGTGAAGTCAGAGGCGATACGTCGAAATCCTCGCATGTTGTCATCAGGGGTCATCAAAGGTGTCACACGGAAGGCAATTTCTCTCACAGGGGATATCATAATTGCGCTCTTAGCCCATGGCATCGTCCCCAGTACCACAAAAGAGGCCTCAGACCACACCAACTATGCCTGTGAGAGACATACACGATGCCCAAAGGCTATGCCCGTAGGCGACCTATCCATCCAACCACCAATTCGCCAATGACTACTGGATCAACCCCCCCCCCCAGCCGCTTGAACTCTGCTTCGAACTCATGGCTGCGGCCGCCTCCGAGAGATTATCCATCTGTGCATCGGAGGTCTTGATGATCATGTTGGTGTAGTCGATCTTTGCGAGGTAAAGACCCGCCATGTCCACAGTGGTCACGGCGTTCTCCCTCATCAGGTCCTTTTGAGCCTTGACAATCTTCCTCTCCAGAACTGACAGCACCTTTCCGATCTCCTTGGTTTTGTCCTCCCAATCTTTCAATACATCGTTATTTCCATTCTTGGTATGGGCAAGCACGGCATCCATCAGGCGAATGGCAAGCTGAATGGCCTCATGCTCGGCTGGGGTGATCGCAATTGTGATGACAGAACTCGTGTTCGGGTCCCCTCCTTGGGAGTCGTAGGGTATCGCAGGCACGACACAGCCAGCGGAGTTGCGACGATGGATGATTGGCTTAGGAGACATAGCGGGTGGATGCCTTGATGTGGAACATGGTCCGTTGACTAAGGCTGTATTTGGTATGAAGTCGGGATGAAGGGCCTGAGTTCCATCGTCCGTCAATATATCTTCCTTGCTGTAAATCTTATCGTCCTCGCGTTCCTGCGTAATGAGTTGCTTCGTCTGAGGGGTGTATAAGGCCTCCCGGGGTGAGGGGGCGGGATGGGACAAACGTAGAATTTAGCCATTGTTGACGTACCACGTGTGCTTTGCTGGGTTGAGAGATGGTGATATGTCTGCGTCTGGTGACGATGAATGTGTGAGATTCTTGAAAGAAGGAGGAAACAGTTTGCTTGGGCAAAATAATGGAGGCAAGTTCAAACTGCGTTGGTTGTTCCACGACCTGGGCAGCTGGTTCAGTTTCCGAGTGTGTTTACCACGCAAAGTGACCACCTTAATGGGTCCCCATTTTGATATGCCGTTATTAGTATTACGAGCACTGTTTGACCTGAAGATGACTTGACTAGGCTTCAAGTTAAGATCTACCATGTCTTCGCTTGACCTGTGGTACACCATTTCTGGTTCCAGTGGTGCCGGCTAGACCGGACAGGCTTTGGCAGTGGCATCAATGAATGCCATTATCGACCGTAAGGCTACCAAGCCACACTATCTGGAGCAGGGCTTGACGGAAGACCTCATACGTTAATCGCGGTTGGTACGTAACATCCTGTTGAAGGAACAGATATATATACACGAGTGGTTAGTCCTCAATTCTTTCCTTCAGTCCAACACCTTGGCTAAACCTGTACACAGTACGTTCTCACAAGTCTATGTTGGCCTGGCTGGACATGCCACGGACAGTCAGAGCACCAGTTCTCGTCGTCACTTCAACACTTGAAATTGTCATGTGACGCAGTGTCTGTGCCGGATGTCAGAGAAGGGCCGCCGAGGCTAAAGCAATTGAAGAGAAGGCGCACTCCGTCCTGGCTCGTTTTTTTGTTTATGATAACGCTGCTCTCAACGTCTTCTTGCGAATTGAGGACGAGGCAAAGGGCGCCTTGTGAATGTAGGGCTCACCAGACGGTCGACCATCTGATCGCTTCATGCCGGTTGCTTTGCCTGGTTCCTCGTCGCGCTGGAAAGTTGCCATTGATTAACCTCGCAAGCTGATTTTGCAACGTAGGTACCAGACCCAAACCTCACAACTTAGGCCCCCTTGCCTTCGCACTGTCATACCGCCTCCCCTCATCGTCCTGCTCCCGCACACTTAAATCCGGCAGCTCTACCGGCATGATTCGCCGCGGCGAAGTCCCTGGCACGAGGGAATACTGAGAGAAGTCGGTGACACCACTATGGTGGCGGAGAAAATCCTCGTCCAGGAGTAGCTGTCCGTTCACAAGGGCTGCTGGTGCGCCGAGGATGGCAAGGATGGCATCCGAAAAGATAGTGGGCTTGCGAAGGTCACTGCGTTCCGAGGCGTTGTTGCGGGAGAATTGCTCCGTGGCGGCGGATTGAATAGCCTGACCCATAGAAGTCAGTTTCATACATCCTCTACAACCCACACTCAACAACAACAACATACATAACAGGGGAAGAACTCACCGCGGCAGGCCAGATACTCGTCACAGCCATTCCACTCTCGACTCTTCCTTGCCGTTCAAAATCCATCGCTAGCCCCTTGGCCAACACGCTCATCCCGATCTTACCCATCGCATAGGCGGTCTTTCCGCGGAAGAAGCGGCTATAGATTGGCGGGCTGACAATAATGATCCTACCGCCTACAGAGCTCTTTGTGAGGTGAGGGAGGCAGGCTTGCACGGCGCCATAGAGCCCCTCGGTGTTGACACGCTGCATGAGCTGGAAGCGCTTCATGGGCGTATCCTCAATAGAAGCCCACCAGATTGCTCCCGGATTGTAGATGAGAACGTCGAGGGTGCCATGTTGCTGCAGGGAGTCAGTATGAGTAGACATGTACGCAAACGCAAAGGGGCCGAGGGGACCGTGGCAGACCTCGACAGTTTTCCGGACAAGTTCCTGAATGCTGGTGAAGTCCCGGACATCAACGGGAATTGCGAGCCCATCCCCGCCGATTTCCTTGATCTCGCGCCCGACGGTGCTGATAGTGGAGGCAGGGGAATTGGGATCAGGGGGAAATCGCGTGTTTGAGGCGTAGGCGTCGCTGATCGATTTGGCTGCTACGACAACTAAGGACGTTTTTTCAGCTCATAGTGTCGCCTCATACCTAAGTTAAGTAGTGTTTTTCTAACCAAAATAGCCATTCTTAGCTAGGTCAATGGCTACCTGTCTTCCTATGCCTCTTGACGCCCCTATCACGAGGGCTACAGGCTTTATTGGAGACATGCTGATGGATAGCGATCAAGTCGGATGTGGGGCAAGCATGGCAAAGGTCAGAGAGGGAATATGAATTTACGTATGGATACAACTCCTCATTAATGTTCGGTCAAAGAGTCGATCGGTCGTTGTTCGAGAGATGACCTTTAGATTACTGATACGGAAGAGGAAGTCTACTTGATTTGGAGACGTGGTAAGCCGAGCCGAGGCCCAACCTGTAGCAGCATCTTTGTCCCACTACGACCGATATCACAGGCTACTTTCAACACATTCATTATACATACCTTCCTTAGCCAAACAAGCCTCAGATATTCAAGTAAGCCATCATGGGTGGCCGAATTGACTGCTATTTTGACATTGGTGAGTCCCCATTGTCATTACGCCCGTGTCAAGGCTTTATCTGACCACGACTCACCTTAACCACAGCGTCTCTATACAGCTACCTCGCCTTTGCCTACCTCATCAGAAACCTCAAGAGCATTGAGTCTCATGGCGTACACGTAGAGTGAGTTAATTGATATGCTGACTTTCAACTTGTATCAGCTTGCTTATATAGCCCCTCAGGTTCCACCCCATTCTCCTAGGCGCAGTCAATGCCCAAACCGGTATGTAGCATTCACGCTGGCGGACGAACCTGATGATGCACGTACTGAGGCTGCAATAGGCAACAAACCGCCATGGTCTGTACCTGCCAAGGCCGTCTACGGCAGCAAATTCGAAGGTCCCCGGGCAACAGCTTACTTCGGTCGGCCGGACATACGCCCGCCAAAGGACCTCATGCCCCGGGCCCACACCATCCTTCCCTTGCGGACACTTCACTACATCAAGCGCACATACTCACGCGAAATCTACCACGCCGTGCTGGAGAACTACTTCCACGCCTTCTGGATGCCTCCCAACTTGAACCTCACCCAAGTGGACGTGCTGGCCAAGGTCATCGCCGAGAGTGGAAAATTCTCGTCCACGGAGTGTGAGGCGATCATGGCTGCTGCAACAACGCAAGAAATCAAGGATTCGCTCACGGGCGCGACGCAAGAGGCGCTAGACAGAGGCGCGTTCGGCGCGCCGTGGTTGTGGGCTACGAATGGAGAGGGGACGGGCGAGCCGTTCTTCGGAAGCGATCGGTTTGTGGCTATGAGCTGTCCAACACGGGGAAGATGCTGACCATGATATAGGTTTGGCTATGTGTACAATTTTCTGGGTTTGCCGTATC